TGGAATCGACAATACGCAGTGTTGGAAGCTACAAACACCCGCCAACAACACAAAAATCTGGACTCTCGATTGGCTGGAAGCCACATTTCGTCCTGTGCTTACCGAACTGAACTGGACTGCAACTGGACTGAACATTGTTGTTTAAATGTGCAGCAGTTCTATTGTTGTGTAGACGCTGTTTGAAGCGGTATTTCGTAGTCAATATCGAAAGATGTTAAAATGAGTTCAACATGTACGTAGATGAAATAGTGGACAAAGTATTTGAACATTGCAAAATTGATGGGTTTCTTTAGGAATGAAAGTTATATGAATTTTTCGAACAATAATAGCTGTTGATGTGTTTCAAGCGTTTGATATATACATATATATAAATATATATCAATAGCCTTTATGGACGTATCAGAGGGGTGTTGCTCAAGCTCATTAAAGTAACAAATCTGAGAGGACACTCTCTAAAACTGGCGAAAGGTAGAGTGAGAATCTGCCTGAGAGTTATGAATGACTGGAATGGACTGCCGGATGAAGCCAGTGCAGCCAACGCAGTTCAGTTTGAGTTCAGTTCAATTCGCACAGGACTGGAAACGGCTACGGTTAATCGAGCGTCCAGAATTCCTTCGGTGGTATGCAGTCAAGTATGGCATACACCACTGCGAAAATTAAATCCATGGAAAGTCACAAGCAGACTTTAAGCACAGATTAGACATTTTATGGATCAGGGTATTCGAGGGCGGGGGGGGGGGNTGATACAGCTGACTCGGGGACTGTTACCCATTTATTGCTAAATCTCCCCAAACAACGTCTTCCTCTCCTCCTTTATTTCTTTCTCCTCCTTATCTCTCTAGAGACTAGGGATATCCTAAACTCTACCTTCATTAGACATCTTTACCCCGTTGCACCATCTTCTTAGTCCCACTGGATGGTCTGACCGTCCCATGAGTCTTCAACACCATTCCTGATAAAACCCCTCGGACTGGAGCCCTGCGAAGGAAGTTCTCTCCTGGTTGTTGTTCACTATTCGTTTTATTGACGAAGAGATTTTCTCTTCCTTTTGTTTTAGCACCAGGAGATATACGAAGCCCACCAGTGCAAGAAGCTGGAAAAATTGGCAAGTCTCCGCTACGTCCTGTGAACCGACCAGACCTGACTTACCCTGACCAATTCTCCCCTCGTATCTACCTCGAGTATTATCCGTAAATATGCGCTATATACTTCCCACCTAATCGCTTGGCTTACATTTACCTCTACATTTGATCATATCAATTAAGCATTTGATTACTCGAGACCTATTCCATTCGGGTATACACCTTCAAAAAAAGAACCGGAATTCGGTACGAAAAATTTATTATACAAGTGCACCGTACAAGTACAAAAATGAAAACAAATGGTTCATCAATGTTTATGAATGACATTCTTCAATATTTTTATACCCTCCTGATAATTGTAATGATATTATGGCGGTAAATGGCATTACCAAAATTAAAATATACAAGAGTATTTTTGTAAATCAAAGAAGTTGTGGTTAATTAAAGCCGAAGCTAATGTGAACCGTTTATAACGGAAAAAATCATAACAATCGCTTGACTGTGCTTGAGAACTGCTTCGGCGACTTTATAAACAGTTCCCCAGCCAGCCTCACCGTTCCTTAGAGTCCTATAAAAGTCCTCTTATAGTCACTTAAAGTATCATTAAGGTTCCATTAGAATCACCCGAACGGGGTGTCTCATGGGGCCCTCTAATGTGAGACTCTAATAGGAATCTAATAGCACTCTGACTAACAGGCTGATCAACTGTATCAATGAAATCGGGATCAGACGTAAACTTTTTCGTTCCTGATGAAGACAGTGCACCTTTTCTGCGGATGCCATTCTGATTAAGCTGTTGACTGATTTGAGGTGTGAAAACGCGTCTGGCCAATACATGTATGCACTTCTGCATAGTGTTACTGTCATCAGCAACGAGATAATCCATCTGTAATGATAAAACGGCAGTAAATCATAATATTCTACAAATATGTGCGCGAAAAGCTAGATCCAAGCTTACAAATTTCGCCTGGATTTCCTTGCCTTGTCTCATCCGACAGCGAATTGAAGTACCCCACGATGGCGATAGACGGAAAAATACTAACTGGCGAAGAACTCATCCGCAAATCAGAATGCAGCTATGCGCTTACTTTGTTAAGCATCCGGTCAGGGCGGTCAATGCCCAGTTGAAGACGATGCAATCATTTGACAACCTATGAAGAGAAACTACTTTATTTATTTAATCACTTACGGACCAGCTCGCGATCCCGTTCAAATTGATTAATGTGCTTCATCTTGCATTCATTTATGAATAACATATGTGGTCAACTCACCTCTTCTGATGTTTATTCGGGATAAACATTCTGTATACAGTCTATACATTCATATACGCTGTAATAAGTAATACAGCGGTATTATTAGCACGCATATTTTCTTATATATATTTATGTATATGTTATCATAATAACGTATATATATCACCGGTTTACGAACAATTGTTTACATACTTAAGCATGGTATCAAGGCAATAACAAGAATAATAGAGAATGAAGGCGTTTGAATGAAAATCAGTGAAGTGAAGGACAAACAGTTATGGCGAGTTAAAAGAAGCACAATTTTTGTTTGTTTCACCGTACTCCTTTCAATATTTTGTATGGTCATTTTTCGTTTATCTTTATGGGTCAAGGGATTTCAACAGTTAGACCGCACAGCATTTGTACCATCGACTTCTATTCTGGGTCACATCCCTTAGCGTCTCTAACCAACGACAACCTTTATCCTTCAGGCCCCGGCCTGGAAGAAGTTCAGCAGCAACGAAAGTGAAACATGAAGCTAGTTTATTTATGCGCTACGTCATGTCACAAGGTTGGACCGCCGCAGCATTTTTATCAACCTTGACCAGCACGTACAAAGAGAGCACAGGAATATAGACGATGAACAAGCATAAGTGACCGAGCCATTGGGGGCGATTAATTCTTTTAGAGAATGACAATCAGTACCTAACACCAGACACAAGGAATGCTTCTGAGATATCAGTGGCCAAATGTAAAAGTCGATTAGCATCCTCAAAGCGGAGGGACCAGGTCTAAAAATCCTAAAGCAGAATACTAAGAACTGCGGCGATGAACACCCTACAATCAAGGGACAATGCAATGTCATGGTGGCACCACAAGTATCGCAGGTCGGCGAAAGTTAACCAAGCTTTTTCTATTTGTGACTTGATCTCCACCACCGCCATTCTATGAAGCCATTAGATAGACTGAAGGCTCTGAAACTGTGAGAGATTCGGGCGTTAACAAGCGTTTATATATGTGCAAGCAATTGATACAGCGCATAATTGTGGTTATTGTTCAAAAAGAAATCCATTCATCCTTGATGAGTCTTAGCTACAACCAGGCAGCCCGTAGATCAACGTTTTGCAGAATGGTCAGTAGGTTGCGGAATATCGCG